AAAGTTGAAATTTAAAAAAAATATTAATTAGTAGAAAATTATGTAATTCTTAATAAAATGTTTTATAAAATTAAAGTTGTTCATGCAAGTGGAATGTCTTAACTTCGAATAAAATGATGGTTTTTCATAGGAAATATTATGTAAAATGGGTTATAAAAGAAATATATGTTATGTCGACAACTACTTTTGTTATTGTGATATTTTATATTTTGATTAAAGAAATTAAAAAAAGAGATGAATAAGTAAATGGTAAATAAGAAAGTAAAAGAAATATATATATATATATATATATATATATATATATATATATATATATATATATAGGTTACATCAAATCAAATCCATCATAGAATAAGGAAGGGTCTCTCCCACTTTACCCAATCTCATGCTCAACATTATGCCTTACATATTTGTACATAAATCACTTGTCTAAATAAGTTTTATCGAAAAAATATATATCATATAACACACACACACACACATATATATATATATATATATATATATATGGGTTTAAATGAGAAGACCTTTATTATACGAAAATGCAAAAACACTAATTTACTATAGATAATCACATATGATACACATGTGATACTAAATCAGAGATCTGGACGACTTTTGGTACGATATAGGTTGCGAGCCAAGTCGCCTTTACAGCACTAATCCTCCTTACATGTATTATCATGTGTGATAAAGATGTTATTGATGTGATACTATAATCAATCAAAACCATCACATGTGATACTAAATCATAGATGCAAACAACCTTTGACGCGATAAAGATCTACTACTTTAATTCCGCAAACCATCAGGTCCCCTCACGTGTATTATCACATGTGATAAGAATATTCTTGCGTTCTCGTAAAATGAAAGTGTTCTTGTCTGAACCTTCACACACATACGCACGCACACGCACACATATAAAACATACATACTAAACATATGTTTTTTTTTAAATATTATTTAATGAGTCAATAATATTGAACAATTTAAATTAAGATATATATGTATTAAAAACTAACAAGTAAAATATTAAAAATATAATAAAAATCAAATGTTGCTTGCAAAACCAGCCATTAGACCATAACGTATCGCATGCTTAACATGGCGTCAGATATAAATCTTAAAGCACGGCGTGTCACGGCAGCAATTGCCACGAGAATATTGCTAAAAAGTAACATTTAAAACTTATGTTTAAATTAAATAAAAATTATTTTTATTTTCAATTATACACATTACATAAATGACTAGGTAATTATGTTTAAATATTAAATACGGGTTTCTAAAGAATAATTTTCATATTCACTAATTAATTAAGCAATCCCTCCATTGCACTCGCATTATCAAAATATTTAATTCATACTTTACATTCCATAAAGAATAAACAATTAATCAACATTTGCCCTAAGTATTAATTGTCTTGTATTTTTGTTTTTCACGCGACTTGTCTTGTTTTTGCCTACTTAACTTTAAATCATGGTAAAAGTTATTGGTAGTCTACCACCATAAACTTATAAGGAACTCGAAAATCTTTTTTATATTTATGTAGGACGAACTGTTACAATTTTTAATTATTATATAAAAAATAAATCAGTCTTAACCATTTAAATCAAGAAACGTTTTTAATTCCATCACACAATTAATTCTTTTAAGTGAGATCGAGTTGGTGGTTATTAGTTAGATAATGTGAACCTATTTAAATTAAGTTTTTCCTTTACATGGTTCGTTTGAATTAAAACCGAATAGGTAGTTATTATTATGTTTTTTTTTTAAATAAAATTAAATTACAAGAAATTCATATTAATAAATATCTATAAAATAAAATTTGATAAATTATTAGTAGGTTTATATTAAAAGAATTATACGTCAAATTAGCATGTTTTTTTTCACAATTGTTAAAGAAAAAATATTTTTAAATTCAATATATATATACAATCATATATATTAATTCAAACACACCCAATGGTAACACGCTTATGATCGATATGATGTCAACCATAGATAGATTTCCTTGCATATATAGGTTATGTTGTATTTTCTTAATTTGTATCACTTACTTAAACTCATAGCGTTCGTATTTGTTAAATCTTTGATATAAACAACAGTTTAAACCACAAGCTAATTATCATAGCAAGTCGGTTTTGCTTGTCATGAATAAAAAATGAACTTTTTTGCATTTTGTTTTAATCAGGGTTAAATCTGTATGATTCTGGAGTGTTTTCAGTTGAAAGCCTTGTCGTTACCATGAAAGGTATAATCTAGTACAGCCCATGCATTACAAAGTTGTACCCACAAACACAGAAGGAAAGGGATTTAGCTAGAAATTGAAAGAGAATTTACAAATCTTGAATTAAAGTGTCCCATGAAACTGTAAAGAGAAAACCTAAACAAGGACAACAAAAAAGAAAAGTTTCAAACCAGAAAAAAGGAAGAAAAAAAGCCAACATGCAAGAAAATCAAAGAGGGTCCTTCAAAAGCGATTCTGATATGATCTCCAGCAACAGTAGAGACAACTTTTGATCAAGTATCACAATGAGATGATTCATTGTCTTGCTCAATCTCAGAAGCAGCTTCTTCTTCTTCTAATTCAAAGCAACAATCATCAATCCCATAAGCTGCATGCCCATTGCCAAATGCTTTTATATGATCTTTCAAAGACCTCTTGTGTTTGAAGTCTGATCCGCAGCTGCAATACCAAAGTTTCCCACAATTCTTCTCGTGGGTTCGCCAATCTCCTCTTACCGCAAAGGCCTTGCCACATTTCCTGCACATAAACGGTTTGATCCCATGCTTCCTTTTGTAATGTGTCTGTAGGGTTCTGAAATCTTTGAGTGGTTTAGCCCGTGGGTGGTCGATGTTGTTTCGACACCCTGGTGCACAACAGTAGCATGGTAACCTTAGCATGGCTGTTGGCTGTGTTCCCCTTAGTGATTCTGGGCCTCTCCTGTATTGAGATCCATGTCCCCACATATGCATCTATATCCCAGGACAGTAATCGATTTAGACACAAATCAATTATAAGATTCATATACAGGATAACTTACATCCTCCCTAACCAATGTTATATATATACATAACAAGTGCAACAATAGATTTATTGACCAAATAATCAAAGTATGCTACACTTAATCAGTTAAGCTGGAAAGAGTCACAGTTTAGTTACATGCAAACCTAAGAACGCGTACTAGTCAGCTCTATTCGTCTCAAAATGCATTGGTTGATGGTATACATAGTACGCACAAAATGATCCCCATTGAAACAATTTGCAATACAGTTTTAGGACTATCTATATCATCAAATGAATTACACAAAGGCCTAGGGCCAAATGCTTTAGGAGACTGCAATTTTGTCTTTACAGCTTTAGATGGATAGTAGTACATATATAGACTTTTGTCACCACGCGAGTTAAAACTTGTTCATTGAACACAACAGGTTGCATTAATAGCTGTTTGGTTCTATTGGTGCTCTCTAAAGTCATCTTGGATCTGTTAGGTTTTCAAAATGAAGAACCCCTTTATGTGTAGTTAAAAGCAATATATACCTCCTGCAACCGCAATAAATGGAAGTAAAAAAGATGACAAAATCATCTGGGCTTGAACGATATTTTGAAAAACAGTACAAAGGACTTAAAGTCAGTGTACATATAATTTGCTCTCTTTAACAAGGAAAGAATGCGAACGACTATATGGGGTTTTTAATGAGTTTATAATTAACATAGAATCTCGCAACCACAAAAGCAGGCTGTGTGGGGTTTGTGGGTGGGAATTTACATGTAGAGTAAATCTAATTAAGTGGTCAGAGATATGCAGATAGATGAAGGGAAGCCTTCTTTTTCTTTTTACATGCTCAAATATGATAAGGAAGATCATCTACGTATCTGTGGTGGAGCAGGGAGAAGATGAATAGAACAACAGAAAGGTTTCAATGACACAACTGCCAATGAGTTCAGGGAAGGAGAAAAAGAAGAATACAAACTCCAAGGAACAAAAAGCATAATCGTTGTCTTGTTCAATCACAGAAAAAGAAGAAACTGTTTTTACAGCACTATTTCTGACCAGCATTGGACCTTATGATCAGTTGGACCAAAGTCTTGATTTGTTCAAAATCCCCAAAAACCCACAAATCATGCAGAGATGAAAGAAAAAGTTATGGGACTGAGGATTAATTCAAGGTTAAATTAATGCTATATAAAATAAAGAAATTTTAAACTGAAAGTGAAGAAAAGGAGGTAACTAACCCTAACCCTAGCAAACCAATATTATACATACATCCTTTCTTGTAAAACATAAAGTGAAAAATGAAAAAGAAGAGTTGAAAATTAGCAAGAAAAGAAGTGTACAAGGAAAGAAGAATATGGGTTTTGGCTTTTTCTTTTTCTTTTTGTAACAAAAGAGATTCAAAGGAAGGGGAACAAAAGTTGTATTATAGAGTGGAGCTTTTAGGGTGATACCTGCATGTTATTGTATCTGTTGAAGGTTTTGAAGCAAAGAGGGCAAGAGAATTGAGTTGGTCCAATCAGAATCTGAGCTGGAGTCGGGATCCAATACTGACCCTTGTTGAGTGCGCTTGTAAGATATCCATTGTTGTTTGTACCTTCTTCCTCTTGATCCACTTCTTTATGATCAGCTTCAGAATTGTTGTTTGAATTGGTGGACAGCCTTGGGATGAGATCAGCTTCCGAAAAGCTATGGGTTGGGAGGCCAAGATGTAGAGCTACAGTCACAGTCTCATGATGATCATCATCATCAATCGTCGTTGTTTTGTTGTTGTGATCTAGTTCCATGGCTATGGTTGTGGTGGTTGTACTAGATGAATCATTATTAGTAGTACTAGTAGGGAATTCTTGATTTTGGTTGAGTGGTCTTCTTGTTGGGCTCAGGCTGAGGAGGGGAAGAGCTTCCCGGAGGGGTGGAGAGGGAGGTGAAGGTTGATAATAGTGAGTGAAGCTAGAATAGGAAAGAGGAGGAGGAGGAGGAGCTGCTGGAGAAGACGACAAGTAGTGATAATTAGGGTTAAGATTGAACCACGATCCATTGAAGTAAGTAGAGTAAGGGTGATCGCTACTCATGTTTGCAAATGGTCGTAGGAAGCAAAGATCAGATGAACAGCTAAACTAGGGTTATATGCAGAGAGAGAGAGAGAGAGAGAGAGAGAGAGAGAGAGAGAGAGAGAGATGACCAAAAAGGTGAAAAGTTGAAGACTGAACAAAAACACCAAAGCTAAAAGAAGTGCAAGGAGGAGTTTTAACAAGGCAAATCAAGGTTGATAAAGTATTTAAAGCTCCTCCTCAGATTAAAATATTAGATAGACAAGATATCACTAGCTCCAGATGTGACTAAACAATACAGATACATGCTCTCCATATCTCTATGAGAGAGAGAGAGAGAAATAATAGACAGATGAGAGAGAGAGATGATAGACAGATGAGAGAGAGAGAGAGAGAGAGAGAGGGAGGGAGGGAGAGAGAGAATCAATTAAGATTAACGGGGGGCAGTGAGAGAGATAATGTTGGGACTTGAAAGAACAAAGGTCCGTCTTTGATAACACTTTCCTGTGTGGAAAGGGGAAGTTTGCAAATATAGGTAAGTACTAAAATGATCCTTAAACTAATCATATTTTCACCATTTCAGTCCCTTGATTTTCAAGAACTCTTCATTCACATCATGATTAGGCCCTCCTATCAAAATACACTTCTAAAAATGCTTTGCTTGTACACGAAGTGTCTTCAAACTCTAGTCCATAAATAAAACACAATAACAAGTCCAAATATATATATATATATATATATATATATATATAT